TTAGATTCAATTTTTTGAAAATTAAATTTTTATTTTTTGACTTATTTTATTTTATTTTTAGTGAATATTTTTAAAATTTTAACTATTTTTTTCATTTTTTAATATACACCTTACTTAGATGTATCTAAAAAAAATATTTGTAAAACAATACTTTAAAAAATTAATAAATACACACAAATATGAAAAATATACTTAATTTTCATATATTTTTTTATATTTTAAATATTTAGTGAATTTTTTAAATTTTTTTTACAAATATTATATTTTTTAAGTGTATTTATGTTAGATATATTTAAAAATTAAAAAAAAACCTTAAAATATTAAAAAAATTTAATAAAAATATAAAAAATAAAAAAATAATTTTTTAAAAAGAAACCAAACAAATGATTTTCATATTATCAACCAATAAAATGTGTGCTTGTAATGTGGTGGGAAAGGAAGGGAGTGGGGTCTAGCTAGCCTAGGTGTGTTGCCATCTAGGTGATGACTGATGAGATGACGCAATCAGATTTGTCAAACGCGTTCACACGCCGCTGTTTGGATGGGCTGTTTCGGGGTGGCCTGACAAAAAATACTCCCTCCGTTCCAAAATAATAGTCTCTTTTGAGGAATCTAACTTTTTTTGGTAGTACAATTATTGCATTTGAAAAAAGTTGATTTTCCAAAATTATCCTTTTGATAGTACATTTTTTGAGAATATCAATGCATAATTGTACTTTTTATGTTGTTTATTAATTTAAAAGAAGGGTAAAATAGGAAATTTATATTTGAGATTAAAAAGTTCGTGTGTTGACTTTTTTTTATACTTTTTTTAGAGTAAAAATAAAATAATTATAATTTGAATGTAATATTTTATCATACTAGTTTATTTAGTACTTTTGTAATCTCAAAAATCCTAGTCAAACGAAGCCAACATCATGAAGAATTGATGGTAGCATTTGGTTGAGTTTTCTAAATACGATTTGAGAATAAAATTGTATTTTGAGTTTGTGAGTTTTGTAATTATGATTTGAGTGTGGAAAATTTACTTGGTTATAAGTTTTTAAAAGAGTTTTGAATTGAGTTTTGGAGGGAGTTTTGAATTTTTGATATTAGAAAAGTTGTTTGATTCAAAAACTTACAACTCATAATCTAAAATTTTATTCAAAACTCATATAAAAATTTAAAAATTTTCGAAAATATTTTTTTATTTACAATATAAAAATAACATGTGCCAAAAAAAAAAAAATCCAACACTGTTCTAGTCAATCGGCTGGACATTTAGGGAGACGACCGAGTTAGCCAAATTTTCCTGCCAAAAAGAAGTTTCCAAAAGTGGGTGTGAAATTATAATTTGAAAACTAAAAACAAGCACCATATTCATGAAAGTGGGCGGAAATGTGTTTGGCAAACATAACCAAACACATTAACACTTATTTTCTTTTTCTTTTTCCGTCTCCTTTCTCATTTCTTCTTTCCTTCCTCTTTAATCTCTCTCTCTCTCTCTCTCTCTCTCTCTCTTCTCTACGCTGCGCTGCCACCTCCACCTTCAATTAGCCTCATTCAATCCATATCCAATAGAAGCTTCCTCACTCAAAAACCAAACCCCCGTTCATTTCATCATCTTTACTAGCCTAGATACTAAAGTCCAACCTCTACAATTGTGAGCTCTACGTATCCTATCACTCTTTACCCATAACTACGACCATTACCTTGAGGACCAAATCAACCACCGTGGCTGTTCCATGTTTCTTAACAACAACTAATGTGGAGTTAGAGATAGGGAATAACTAAGGTCTCGTTTGGCAAGTTAACATTTTAGTCAAAAAATTTTTAAAAAAATTAAAAAGTCTATAATTTATATTATTTCATTTTCTTTCTACTTTTTGTACATCTTTTAGTAAAAAGTCAAAAAATTATCCCAAATATACTAATTTTTTTTTCTTCATATTTTAGTCAAAAAGTTACTAAAATAGCCTGTTTCCAAACGAGACCTAAGTACCATTGAGGTAACAACGAAAATTAGAGTTAGGGAGGGTGAAAGTAGTAATAGTAAAGTTGGGTTAGAGAGGGATAGCAATAAGAGATTGAGGGCTTGTTTGGTTTGTTTTTGAAAAAGTTGTTTTTGAAAAAAAAATTGGGAGAGAGTTTAGAAATTTTTTTGGTTTGTTTGGTTGTATATTTTGGGAGAGTTGTTTTTTTGAGAGTTTGAAATGATTTGATATTTTGGGAGAATTTGAGTAAATGTGTGTGAGAGAAAAAGTGATTGAGAAAGAAAGATGAGAGAAAAAGTGATTGATTGATGTGTAAGAGAGAGAAAGTGATTTTGAAATTTTTTTGAGAAAAACTCAAACCAAATAATTTTTTAGAAATTTTTTTCTAAAACTCATCTCTCAAATACAAACCAAACATATCCTGAATTTTCGTATAAACGTACAAAAATATGAAAAATATACTTAATTTTTATTATTTTTTATATTTTTAATATTTTGTGAATTGTTTTTAAATTTTTTTTACAAATATTATATTTTTTACATATATTTATATTAAGTGTATTTAAAAATAAAAAATAATTAAAATATTAAAAATTTCTAATAAAAATAAAAATTATAAAAAAATTTAATTTAAAAAAAAATAAATTCAAAAAACTCAAACCAAATAATAAAATATCATGAAAATTATCTCCTTTATATTTGGAGGGTCAATCAAGTCTTCTCTTATTTGGAGGGTCAATCAAGTCTTCTCTTAAATTTGAAATGAATGGGGATAAATCAACACGACGCCGTTCAGAAGTTAAAAAAAAAAAAAAAAAAAAGGGGGGGGGGGGGTATAAACAATTTTCCGGTATTATGATTGGGGTGGTTTAAGGTTTGTCCCAAAAAAAAAAAAAAAAGAAAAAAAAGCAATCCATTCTGTACTTACTGATAACAGATTTAGGGCAAGTTTGGCTTGAAAAAAATTTAAAAATTCAAAGTTACTTAAAATTAAAAATATTATTTATCAAAAATTAAAAATTACGGATGTATAATTCTCAATTTTAATTTTTTTATACACATTAATTTATACAATTTTTTAATACACATTTTTTCATAAAAAGTCAAAAAATTAACCTAAACAATCATATTTATTTCCTCAACTTTTTAGTCCAAAAAATCAAAAAGTGCATCTATTTAAGACATCTCAAACAATCTCCTAAATAAGTTTAGGAATTTTAAATAATTTATTAAATATTTTATATAGACGTGAGATATATAGGTTTGGTTTGGGAAGTAAGTTGGTTTTTTCAATTTATAACTGTTTTAGTTATTTTAATCTGGAGTTAAAAAGCCTGGTTGGAAAGAGCTTTGGACTTTTTTGATTTTTTTGATTTTTTTGTGAGAGAAAGAATTAATAATTATGAGTTGGATGTGGCGTTTTGTTTTTTTAAGGCTAAATAGTCTATTTTATTTTTTGTGACTATTTTAACCCCAAACTCACCCAAACCCACTTCTCAAACAATCCCATAGTATGAATTTTGTATTTATAAAAAATATTTAATAAAATATTTGACGATTCTTAACATTTTTTAACTTACAATTTCTATATGTATGCCCGTGCCTGAAGGCACGATGCAATTAATAATGAGATTAAAATATAAATCAAAATAAAATTATTAAAACATAATGGTAAGATTTTCTTTGTTCGATCTTTTTCAATGGTGATGGACAGTCACAGAGCGGAGGTGGCGATGTGTTCCTTATTTCAACACCCATTTCTAAAACTTTTTCAAAATCATAAAAAATCAACACTCATTTTCCATTAAGGAATTAAATCCATTTCATAAATCAAACTAAAAATAAAAATACATTTTTAAAATCAAAACCCATTTTATGAAGATCAAATATTATTTCAGACCCAAATCAAATCTAACCAAACCAAATAACATAAGTTACATCTATAAAACAACAAAAACAAAATCATAGGTTCCAAATGAGTATAGATCATGGATTTGAATGGGAATTTTAAATAAATAAATAAAAAATGATAAGGGAAATGTCAATGAAATATAAGTTAAATTTTTTATCCATTTATCTCACCTTTCCCTTTTACAATGCAAGGGAATGGAAGCCTCCATCTATTTACAGTGAGGTTACTTCTTTACAATTACCAATAAGTAACCAAACAAATGTGACATCACAACCCACAACTATGAGTGCCAAAAAATCACAAAAATAATTTCTATGAGCGTATAGAAAAACAAACCAAGCACTCTTGCTAGGGTTACTGCATTAACAACCCCCTCCCCCCTCCCTAAAAATAAATAAATAAATAAAAACAAAATACTACACACTAAACAAAGTACACCAATCAGCTACTAATAAGCATGCTAGAAAGAGGCAATGCAAAAACAAATTTTCAATGTCTTAGTCTAAAAAAATTTCAATTATCTCAACTATCTCAAATTTTCTTGGTCTTTCCCATTATCTAATCTGATACATATCTTTCCCTTCATCTATGATTCCTATCAACAGGAAATAAATAGCAATTAATAACAATCACTCTGACCAAAAGATAAAATAAAATACAATTAATAACAATCACTCTGACCAAAAGATAAAATAAAATACAATCACTGTTTCAACCCTCCATAGTGAGTGACAATTTTTCAACATGAAAAACACAATCACTCTTGCAAGTAAAATCTATTATATCATCACAATTAGATGACAATGTTGCAGCAAACAAAGATAACTCCTCATAGAGTTGAAAACAAAGTTATAAAATAATAATAATAATAATAATAAAATAAGAATGCGAAGAGAATGAAAACACAGAAAAAGTCTAGCACTTGTAAACAAAATCAGCAACCATGGGAACATTAATGGGTTTTAGAGGGAGGGAGCACACATGGGTACATTTCTTTGAAATACAAACTTAGATATGCCAACTCAGCAAAGAAATTTCAGTACACACAGTCCCTACTGTGGTAGGGAGCACACATGGGTACATTTTTTTTATCTTGAAACTTCGCCCCTACAGTCAGAAATTTCAATATACACATTTCAATACACAGTTACAATGTCAATTTATATTTAGGGCCAAAAGGAGTTGTCAAAGTTCATCAATGTGGCTTCCACTCAAGAAACTATGATATATCACATAGTAGAAGATCAACTGACATAAAGAGCAAGAGAAAGATTTACTGACCAAGAAAAAAGTTGTCTCTTTGATAACCTTTGAATTGGCTATAACAACCTCAGTCTTCAGTTTCACAATGCGAGGAGCTGCCATTTAAAAAATGAGCTAATGTAATCCAAAAAGAGTGCACCAACTAATAAAAACCCAAAGATATCAAAATTAACAACCAACATAAGTGAAGAAGAAAGGAAATACAAATTAATAGAAACCAAAACTTTTCAACATGAATGTCCATAATCACAGAATTAGACCAGAACAATTAAAACAATCTATATATAAAATTACAGACTAAAAATATGAATGGACACATTTTTTTCATCACTGACCTCAGTTTACAATCCTTTTATTTATTGATTGATTTTTTTTGCTAAAGTTTATATATCATGCTTTTAGATTCCAAAGCTTGCTGGCCATGTCAGAAGTTTATGACAGCAGCCCAAACAGGACGAAAGTTTTTTATATGTTTGCAACTGATAAATTGACTTACAACAGTCAAATGAAAATAAATATTGGTCCAAAGCAACAGTCATATGAAAACATACACCAAGAAAGAAAAGGAAAAATGAAAATAAATATCCAGAGAAAAAGAATAAAAGACATGAAAGAATGTGCTCAGACTTCACCATTCAAAAATCTATGCATAACAGAATCATAGAAAAACACAACATGAAATATATAAAGGAAGACATCACACCAAGAAAAGATACATGCCTTGTTTGTGGGTATAATTAACCACTAATCAACCAACTCTTTTATGAAGACCAACTCTTTTCTCTTCACAAACCTTTTCAAAAATTACCATTGACTGTTTGATTAGCAAAGTAATCCATTAGTTACCAAAAAATTAAAAAAAAAAAATAGGCACTCCTCAAGAATGCCCCGTTTGTGGGTATAATTAACCACTAATCAACCAACTCAACTCTTTTATGAAGACCAACTCTTTTATCTCCAAGACCAACTCTTTTCTCATATCAAGGCCAACTCTTTTATCTTCATAAACCTTTTCAAATCAACCAGTTTTACCATTTGCTGTTTGATTAGCAAAGTAAAAATAAAATCTAGGAAAAATCTGATGAAAAAATAGGCACTCCTCAAGAATGACCAATTAATATGTAGAAAATAAATAAAAAAGAATGATAACTTTGTACGATCCAAAAACCCATATCCCAAAAGAAAGGAAAAATGCAAGGAAAACGACCCAAACACCCAAAATTTAGTTATAATAAAAGAATGGGAAAATGAGAGAATACTCATTTTCAATACTAAAAAAAAAATAAAAAAATCAAACTTTGAATACAAAATAAAATACAAAATCCAACATACATCACACCAGTGTGGGTAAACCCAAAAACACACCTAGAAAACAGAGCAGGGAAAAGGGGAAAAATTAAGAGATAAAGTAAACAGCCCAATTCATCTTTAAAAAAATTTATTTAACTTTTCAATTCAACACCAAGCATTGATCAAGTAACCAATCAATTAAACACAGATCTGGATGCATGAACCCTGATATGAGTGAAAACAAAAACCCAAAAAAAAGAATTTTCCTAGAAGCTTCCTATCAATTAAACAATCAATCAATAAAAATAAAAACACATATTTAGGCAAGAAAGTCAGTTGGAAGCTTCCTATCAATTAAACAATCAATAAACAAAAATAAAAACACAGATCTATACATACATACATGAACCCTGAGATGAGTGAAAAACCCATAAAAAAATGACCTAGATATTGAGAGAGCACAACACCCACTATCTCTCTTTCTCTGTACTACAAAAATAAAAACACAGATCTATACATACATACATTGATCTTGGGGTGCGAGAGAGAGAGATGAATGTTTGGACGAGAACTATGTGTTTGGTATATTTAAGAGGATTGATCTGAATCATTGATATATATTTAGAATTGATGTAGACCATTAAAAGCAAATGTATCTCTTAGACATTTTGATACATTTTCAAAGATCTTTTTGCCTTATTATATAGATAGTGTATACCTGTGCCTGAAGGCACGGTAGAATTAACGATGAAATTAAAATATAAATGAAAATAAAATTATTAAATTAAAATGTAATTTATTAAATGTGTTGCTAAAAATTTTGCGATCAAACTATAAATACAGATCCAGTTTCGACTTTAATGAACAATTGAGATTAATAGCAAATAGATCAACTACCAAACAAATTATCAAACTTTTTAACACTCGCATTACAACCACGGAAATAGCCTCTTTGTCTCTCTACCTTAGGAAAATGGTAAACAGTGTATGTTTTTATAAGTTATTTGCTATAGTATGTAGGGTTGACAGTATCATCTTGAATTGGCTCTACTTCCTCTAATGAAATTCTAAACAAACCCCAAAAATTCCATGACTAAACCTTTGGAGCATACGGAAAAGTAAAATTTTCCATAAACTACATACTATCTCAAGATGCATTATGGTCCAAAATGAATTAAAATCAATGAAATTTTTTTTGCTTTTTTATTTTTTCTTTTCAAAGAGTAGGAAGTGAATTCATAGGAAGGAAAAAAATTCGTAAATAAAGACATGAAATTCAAAATGAATACAATACACCAATTTATTAGTAACCCAAATAAACTCCAAATTCAGAAAATTTATTAACCGATAAAAAGTTAAGTGATTATCAGATCCACCTTCAAACCCTGGAAAAAAAAAAAAAAACCCAACCCAACAAAGCTAAAGATCAATTTATTGTAAATCAATCAACTTAAATTTAACTTGTATAACAATAAATTAATCACACTTACATCAAACCCAACAGAGCTCTTTTCCTCATCATCCAATCCTAGAAATTGTAGAACTCTCCTTCCACTATCCACTGCAGTGACTGTCAACACAAACAAAACAAATTCAAATTGGATGCGAAAAAACCAACTTTATCAGCACTTTAACTAAACCCTCAATTTTGCCAACAGCCCCACTCAAAAACTTCATAGTAAAACAATCCAATTCCAAACCAAAAATAGAACATTTCACAGCACCAACATTCAAACATTTCTAAAAAACAAAAAAGAAAAAAAAAATCATGAGATTGAACAAAGAAAATCATATACATACAAATAAAATATCATGAAATTGAACAAAGAAGTTAGTGAACTTCTTAGCAAAATCATCACTCAATTACTCAATTACTCTTCTTTTTTTACTTTATTTCTCTCTCCAGAAAATGTGAACACAGCTAGGCTTTAGAAATCTGGGAAAAGAGAGCCAAAAACAAATAGAGATAGAGAGAAAGGGAGAGAAAGAGAAATCAAACTACCTGGTGGCCGTGTTGATTGAGTGGTGGTGGCCACTTCTAGCAGTACAGATGAAGAGAATCAAAACAAAAGAGAATTCAGTCTCGAAGAATCATAACATAGATACGTACACATACACAGGGGAATTTACCTATGTATCTAAGTTATAAAAATAAGTATACCATCATAATGGAATTCTAGACTAATTTTGCTAAAGTTTTTTTAGACTAATAATCTTAATTAATTGAAATTAAAAAGTTATTTTAGATGATCTAAATAAGTATACTATTTAACTTTTTATAAAAAAAAATATGTAGAAAAGTAGAAAGTGATATGATAAAAAAAAAATTAAAAAATAAAAAGTATACTTGTATAATATACCATAAACAAAGCCGTATTTATTTATTTATTTATTTGAAGGACAAAAGGCCACTAATGCCCTAATTAAAAATCTCAGAAGAATATCCACAATTTATATTCACAGCCATTGTTGAATATAAATCTCAGCCATTGTTGCTTGCTCTGCCCCCTTCAATTTCAAAACCTTCCTTTCACCAAACCTCAAATCCAACCAGCTCTACCCATTACATCATTTCTAAATTGAATAAATCTGACATGAGATTATTTCACTATATTTCTTGGAAAATTCCAAATGTGAATATATTTCATTTATGTACTATTATTTTATGAAACTTTTGTCAAATGTGTGTATTATTGTCTTATTAATTTTTTTACAAAATGTGTCATTTTTTTTTTAAATGTGACAATGAGGCATTTGTGTATAATTATCTTATAAAATTTTTACTAAAAGTATTGTTCTTAAAATGTTTCTAATGTGTGCTATACTTTAATTGGAAAATTTTAATGTGAGATAGGACTTTTGGGTTTATAAGAACATTTGTGGGACTAAATGATTCGTAAATCATAGATATAGAATTTATTAGTAAATGCCCCATATTTGTTTTGTGTAACTTTGATACTAAAAAATATACACGTCTGAGATCTACACTACCATAAAAATAAAATTATTTCTCCACTAATTTACTCTTTTGTTTAATGAAGAGACAAAACCATGTTCAATTAAAACAAACTTGAAACCGAGAAGTTTGGTGTAATTATCTTGTTTGGTACAATTTCTTGCAATTAAAAAGTTCAAAAGTCAAAAATCAAAGCTATGAATGTATCAATTTTCCTACTTCTCACTAATTAATTTTTTATAATTTATTTAAGTTATTTATATATTATAAATTATAAGTAAAAGCTATACAACCATTTAGTTAAAAACAAAAAATAAAAACTGTAGCTTGGGTCTCTCCCAACTTAACAAACTCTCTTTCTCAAATCTGTGTAACTTGGGTCTCTCCCAACTTTGTCTCAAACTCTCTCTCTCTCTCTCTCTCCCTCCCTTCTCAGAATGGCAATGGGTCTGTCCTTCACTCCAGACTTCAACTCAACAAACAACAACGGTGGAGGAAAATAAGGGACTGATACAATAGTAACCCAAAACAGACAAAAATCGAAATCAGAAAAAGGGGGATGAGAAAGACCCAAGTTAGGAAAATAAGGGAAATCAAAATCAGGAAAATAAGGGACTGATACAATACTAATTCAGAAAAATCGAAATCAAAACAGACAAAAATAACAACCGAAATCAAAACAAACAAAAATCGTACCTTGCCAAGCATCGGTAGCAAAGAGGCAAAGAGGGTTTCAGCGAGATTTGTTGCGAGGAGGAGAGAACTGAAGTGATAAAGGGAGATGAGGGAGAGGCTGTCGTGATGGCGGTGGTCGAGGGATCTATTGAAGAAGGAGAAACAGAGAGGGTCCTGTGAGGGAGAAGAGAGGTGGTCGCAATGGCGGTGGTCGAGAGGGTTTTGTTGAAGAATAAATAGAGAGTGAGAGAGAGATAAAGAAGGAAGGAAGAGACGTGGATGAGAGCAGAGAGGGAGAGAGAGATAAAAGGGAATGAGGAGGAACGTGGGTAGGTGAGAAGGTTAAAGGAAGAGAAGTGTTTGGGCGGGAGATCACTATTGATCTGAACCATTGATATAAGCTTGGGATTAATCTCAGCCATTGGATCAAAATGTATCTCACATACATTTTATACATTTTCAAAAACTTTCCTCCCTTATTATATAGATATATATATATATATATTATGTATTTTAAGAGTACTGGTTAGAGGCTCATAATTATATATAAATTGGTGCAATTAGAAGAAAAAAAAAATTGAAATAAATATCTATAAATAAATAAAAAGATGAGAACTTTTTATTAATTGCAGTAGGAATGAGAATTAGAGAATAAAGAGCTAAAAAAAAAAAAAGTTAAAAGTTAACTTTTAACTCATTTTGAATTATATCATATTTTATATTTTTTATATATATTTTTTTAAAAAAATTAAAAAATTAACTTTTAACTATCTTCTCAAAATAGACCAAAGTTGTGATTTGGTAAAAACTTTTTTAGTTAGCTTTTTTAATTTAGACTTTTTAGTTTGGAACTAAAAAGTTCATTTGTGTTGATTTTTTTACTTTTGTAAGAGAAAAAATAAAATAATTATGATTTGAATGTAACATTTTTTGTCTTATTAGTTTATTTCTATTTTATCTTTTATACTTTTGTAATCCCAAAAGTCCGTGCCAAACGAACTCAAAATCATAGGAAATTCCCACACACCTACTTATCTCAGTATATATAATTTCTTAATGCACATATTTATTAATTTGGTTATTAATTATTATTTTTTTCATTTCACACACTTAATGTTTCAACTATACCCCAATGCATATCATTGGCTGTGCGGGGGTGCACAGCAGCCACTGCTGTGCAGCCAATTGGGCCCTTTTCGGGGCCCATTTTGATAATCCAAACCGTTCACATTTTAGAATACATCAAGTAAAACATACTTATAAAAAATTAAGTTAATCGGATTTCGTTTACCCATTCATCCATTCACATTTGTATTTACAAAAATAAATAACAATTGTAATTTAAAGTATTAAAATGAATACAAATGTAAGTGGATGAATGGGAAAATGATATCCAATTAACTTGATTTTTTACAGGTATGTTCTATTTGATGTATTCTAAAATGTGAACGGTTCGAATTATCAAAATAAACTCCGAAAATAACCTAATTGGCTGCACAGCAGTGACTACTGTGCACCTCGCACAGCAGCCACCCCAACTTCATATACACTACCTAAACCCTCGTTCCACACACATTCACCCATTTTGATTTCCTTTTCCACACACCTGAAAAATTTACCCAACTCCACCCGTCTATTTACGAATTTGGCGTTGTCTGCCATTGATGATCCAGCAGAGCTCTCATTGAGATATTTAGCAAACAAGACACACTACAAGCAAAATCATTTTTGGCGACTAAATTTTTAGTCGCCAAAAGTCCGCTTTTAGTCACCGAAAGTCGAGTTTTTACTTTCAGCGACTAATTTTTTTAGTCGCCCCTTTTGTCGCGCATACGTGGTCGCGAGAGGTATCGGCGACTAAACTTTTTTTAGTCGGCAAAAAAGAACTCTTTAGCGACCAACTGTTTAGTCGCCATTGGTGCATTACACTTTTTAAAAGCACACATTTAGCGACTAATATTTTAGTTGCCAATAGTCCATGAATCGCCGACTAAACTATTTTCGAACCGTGAACCATTCCAACTGCCAACACCTTTACCAACATACTCCCTCCACTATGCCACTTGAACATCACATGACTATATATGCAATATATATTATTTATATACTATTTTGACCGGTATTCATACAAAACCATATATGTAAATATAATTATTTTTATTGAATATAATTTATGTAAAAAATAAATTATTTATTAAAAAAAAATGTAGGCCACTTTTGGCGACTAAATCAATTATTTAGTCGCCAATTCTATGATTTTTGGGCTACTAATTAATTTGTTGTCGCTAAAAAAATATGTTTAAATTAAAAATAGCACTTTTCGCGACTAAATCTGTTTTTAGTCGCCAAAAACGTCCCGTTTTGGCTACTAAATTGAAATTTAGTCGCCAATTCACTGTTTTTAGCTACTAATTTTTTTTTTGTAGCCAAAAATCTTCATTTTCAGCGACTAATCTTTTTTTAGTCGGCAAAAGACCCATAATCGGCGACTAAAATGGTTTTTAGTCGCCAAAACCATAACTTTTGGCTACTAAATTATTTTAGTCGCCAAAAACCGTCGCTTTTGGCTACCAAACACCCTTTAGTCGGCAAAACTGTTACATTCGGCGACCAACAAACAGTTTAGTCGCTAAATCCTTGGTATTCGGCGACTAATTCATTTTAGTCGGCAAAAGGCTTCATTTTTGGCGACTACATCTAGTTTTGTCGCCATTTGGTCAACTTTCAGCGACGAAATTCTGAATTTTAGTCGCCATTTGTGCTTTTTCTTGTAGTGACACCCTTTTTCTTATCATAATCTGTGAATGTATTGTTGACTCCGTAGCTTTCGAACCCAATTTTTTGACCCAACCCACCTTTTCCATACCCATTGAACTTGTCTGTGCATTCGTTGAACGATTGTCCATAGCTCTTAAATTTCATAGTCCTTGAATTTGAATTCTTTGCATACAATTGAAACGAATCGTCACCAACATTCAATTTCTCTCTATAATTCATGCACTCATAAATGGCGGCATTACCACCATCACCGTAGTTCTTGAAATTTTTCTCAGGTACATTTCCATTAGACCTGTGATTCACACGCCTGTAAATAGCAGCTACAACAAGCGAGCTTTGAGAGTATTGTTTTTGTAAGCAACCGAAAAATAATGGAAGAAGGGAGAAATAACGGATAAAAGTTTTTTTTTTATATTATTATTTAAAGGATGTGCAATGAGATTTTTTTGTTTTAAAAAAAATGTGTTTAGAAAAAATTTGAGTATAATATTAAGTGTGTTTTGATATCCATTATAGTCATTTCATTTTAAGATGTATAATTGTCATTAAAATAATATTTCATTACATTTGGGTAATTCTATTTCTACACACCAAAACATCTCATTTCACATCCTCTCTAAATACACATACCAATTAAATTTGAATTTTGTAATTTTACTCAATGCACAACGAACTAGATAGAAAGCAAAACCCACATTGCCATTGAAAACAATAATTATGTACAAAACCCAGTTCAATAATCAGAACCAGCAAGAATGTATATATATGTATTATTATATGCAATAGGGGTCAAATTTGGATCTGAACCATCAAAATGCAAGAAAAATCCACATGTAATCCATTGCCAATCATGCGATTAATGGCATTGTTGCCACCCCCACATACTCCAACGACCTTGATCTTGGCCACATCCATTGTAGTAAACAAGCTACTACAAGTACAGTAATGCTTTGAGGGACTTCGACGACGAGCCTGGAAGAAGAAACGTGTTCTTGAGACGAATGGAGAGAAGGTTTTGTGGTTAAACCCACTGAAAATTGAGGAGGAAGAAGAAGAGCACATTATTAACTCAGCTGGGTTTGTGAGTTGAAAGGTAACCATTTGTGCCACTATTTGGTTTCCAAGAAAATGAGGACAGAGAGTGGGAATGAGAATTTTTTTTCTCTCCTGAGAGAGAGAGAGAGAGAGAGTAATCGGAGGTCTAGGGTTTTAGAATTTGACGGGTTCGAAAATTTTTCCGCAAAAACGTTAAAAGGTCTCGGCGGTGGCCAGTGATTGGGAGAAGGTAGAGGTGGTAGCGACGGAGTCAACGGTGGTGGAGGTGATGATCTAGGGGACAATGGAGGAGGAAGAAGGGAAGATCCAATGTCAACAATGGTGAATCCATTCAACAACGATCAAAGTGTGTGCACAGAGGAGATGAAGAAATTAGGGTTTTGGTGGAGGAGATAAGAACACTTTAGTAATTTTATTTTAGGACAAAATTGTAATAAAAAAAATAAATCATTAAGTGTGTGCATAGAGGTAGGTGAGCGTGTGGAAATAAAATTCCCTTTTAAATTTGTATACTGAGGTAAGTAGGTGTGTGGAAATAGAATTTTCCCAAAATCATGAAGAATTTACATTTTTACCTCCCATTTTCTTTTTCTTTATTCTTTCTCTTTTCTTTCCTCTTCTTTCATCTCATCTTCTCTCGGTTTTTTATGTTGTCCTGCCACCTCCACCGTGAATCAGTCTCACTCAATGCACATCCAATAGAAGCTTCCTCACTCAAAAACCAAACCCCCGTTCATCTCATCATCTTTGCTAGCCCAGTCACTAACGTCTAACCTACAATTATGAGCTCTACCAACCCTATCATTCTCTACCCACAACTACGACACCACCTTAAGGACCAAATCGACTACTGTGGCTGTTCCATGTTTCTTAACAACAACTAACGTAGGTAGGGGATAACTAAGTACCATTGAGGTAGCAACAAAAATTGGAGTTAGGGAGGGTGAGAGTGGTAATAGTAAAGTTGGGTTAGAGAGGGATTGCTAGCAATAGGAGAGGGTAGAGAATAGTAGTGCTTAGCTACTAAGAAGGTGGAGAGACAGAGAGTAAGAGAAGAGAAAATGACAGCATTTTGGTAATTACAACTATTAATTTCAATTTTTCCCCTTACTATTTTGTAAATAATTACCCCAAATCCCCTTTTTATGAAATCTCCCTATAAATTAGAAATGAAGGTAAATCTTTAAAAAATTGTAGTAGTGCAAGTAAGAGGTATTAGTCCCAAATCATAACTTTTATTTGTATGCGTTGTATCAATCTCTAACCTTGTAGTATACAATAGTAACCAATTGAGACAGCTCAATTGGTTAACCACAATTTAGTCGGGCATTGTTCCAACAATATATATGATTGGGAAAAC